TGACGGCATCGTGCCGTCAAGCACATCGTGAAGGAACTGGACCCAATCGACGACCATCGACCTGTACATCCCTGTCGTCTTGTTTACGAGATACGGGCATCTGCTGGTAAGCCTTGCTGCGCTGTCGCAGTCATCATCGTCTCACAAGGCCACCACCCCCAGCCTCAAAGGAACACGAAACATGCGCTGCACCTTCACCACCTGTCCGCCCCGGGCTCCACTGCATTGCTAAACTTTCTCACCTCTTGCACGCTACTTACCAATCACACCCCTCCACCTTGACCTGCGCGAAAAAGCCACCGCTGACTGTACTCTGCCGTACCCTCGCGACGTCGTCTGAATAGGCGCCCTCGGCATCTCGTAAGATCCGCAAGCCGTGCTACCCTTCACTCTCTTGGCTGCACACACATGCAAAGTCCTAGGGCCCTTTTTTCCATTGCCATGGTTCCACCCGCACGCCTCTAAACGGCCCTCTGCTCATGTCATGCGCAATTTCTTTTTTCCTGTCCGATCCGCCCGCTGCCCAATCGCCGATGCATCTCGCCATCTCGGACCTAAGCAGGGCGGAGGCTCGGACGAACACAACCTCCATGCCAACCCTTCACGACATTCGCCTTGCCCAAGCTAGTCAGCGGTCAAGAAAAAAACCTTCCAGCGAGTCAAAGAAAACTCAATTCAATAAAATTCGATTAGACAGAAAACGTTCCATTTCAAGGCCAAGTCACAAAAGAAGAGTCGAGGTCGCGACCATCGCAATTTCCCTCCTGCCTTTGTCTGACTCTCCACGTCCCTTCTCCAACAATGCCATGTACATCATCCCCTTTTACACTGACAATGCCATAACATGCCATGCCCGTGCATTGACTCAGTTTGCCCCAACAACGACAATGTGCGAAACAAACCACCCGCCCGCAGTCTCTCCGCCCGTTTGATGCGGAAGAACAAAATACGGCGTCAACGAGTGTTTCACTAAAAAGGATCCAAGAACGGTCTTGCACGCGAGGAACAACATGCGCGAAAATGTCGCGTAGAACCCAGTAGGCTCGTATTCAACGTATCCAGTCTTTTGATTTCTTCTTTTCCCGCTTCATCTCTCGTACGTGGTCTCGGACCCCGTCAAGGCCCGAGCGCACATAAACTGTCGCGCCCTGCAAAGGCGGGAGTCGGGTAATTTTCCTTCCCCTTGCACATCGCTTTCTTGCCGTCTCGCTGCCGTTCGGCACGCGAGCTTAGGTTGTCGCTGATCGCCATGAACACTGCAATGCTGATCTCGGAAGTCTCGGAAGAGTCAATAGGGAGGCACGGAGGAGACTCCATTAAAGAACCATGTAAGGATGATATTCAGGTACCGCATTGCACGGAGCAATGCCGTTTGTACCGTTTTGTACCCTTTGACCAGGACGCGCCGTGAAGTTTGTCTGTAGTCGTCCGATGAACGGAAAGTGCCCTCTGTCACAAAATCCACTCCGTATATAATTGAAGAAAATCTGAACTTCTACATCCATCAGACGCGCTGAGAATGCTACATAATGAAAACGCCGATACTTTCACAGAAAGATGCAATACAAAACTCGCTCTACAAACCAAGCCGAAGCTGTCCATGACCGTTTGAGAAAAACCCCAGTCAAGCCGACATGCAAACGCCATGCTCGTTCGTACATCGTATCGCGTGCTAACATCCACAAAACGCATCCTCCACCAAAACATCAAGTCACGTATGTCCATCACTATCCTAAGGTGTGTCGATAAGGTCCTCCAAGAACTCGTCGAGTTCGATAATCGTGAACTGTTCCGCCCACTTGGACCTGAACTGGCGCTTCCGGTATCCACTGTTGATCTGCTGTCCCCAGCTAATCAACTCCAACTTCCAGCCTTTCTTCAGGGCCCGTTCAACATGGGCAAGGAAGCCGTCCGACATCTCTGCAACAGCCCCGTCTCCAGTCGCGAGAACCATGGTGCTCGGCACTTCGGTATCAATGATGCTCTGACACATCTTCAAGTGAAGAATCTCGTCGACACCCTGCTCAACCCATTTCGGGGCTGAAGGTGTCTTGGGAGCCGGCGGACCCGTTTCAGAGTCGCTGCCGCTCTCAGCACGCATTTGAGTAGCCTTGTGCCAGCCCATCTTCTTGACATCGTTGAAGAATTTCTTCTTGTCCGAGTCTTCGCGTACAATGAGTACCTGCTCTTGCATGATGCTGTCGTAACCGACGGCCTTAGATGTCTCAACCAACTTGGCCACATGTGGCAGAGGATTGGCTTCACGGTGCGACCCAGCAAAGAAACGCTTTGCGACAGGCCGGCGACGCTCCATCAGAAGCGCAAGACTGTCGAATGACATGTCGTACGCATCATGTCGCAATCCGTGGTTTCGGAGCATGTCCTTCAGCCCTATCATGATGTTCGAGGCATCAACAAAGACATGCAATCCATGCGCCGACTCTCGCTCACTGAGAAGTTGCATAGGCGATACTAGCCACTTTCGATCTTCGGGGAAAGTGTTCAACAATTTGTTAAACAAATGGTAATGACGCTCTACTTGCGATCTAATCGCGAGCGATGGTCGCCGTCCACTGAGTGAGGCAACATTTGGCGTTGGGGTAGTGGGTGGCTGTTGAGCAACAGCAGGTTGGGAGCAAGTTCGTGGTAGAGTGACAGGTCGAACAGTGCGGGGAACAAGACCATGATGTACTGGTGTGATGGCACGGGGCAGTTGTTGAGCCTCGGCCAAGGTGTCCTGGCTCGGTGCAGGTGTGCCAAATGGCTTGTATTGGATCTGGGCGGGTGCGGGTGCAGTGGAAGGAACTACGACCGGTACTTGTTGAAGGGGTTGTGGGGTTGCTGGCTGGGCCACAGAAGGCCGCTTGAGTATGCTGGGGCGGGATTTGGGGGTCCTGGGCTGCTTTTGTTGCGTTTGAGGGGCTTCGGATGTATCCTGTGCTGCTACCGGGGTAGGAGTCGCAGGCCTGATCTTAGCGCCCACGTTGGATCGCGAGTGTGTTCGGGAGGTCTTGGATGGCGTTTTTGGCACATCAACGACCTTGGTATTAATGTCGGTATTATCGTTCAATTGCTTTCGCAATAACGCTTGTTGTGCTTGCTGCTTTCTTTGCTCGCGCTCCTCTGCAAGCTGAGCCAAGGTGTCTTGAACAGCCTGTTGACGATTTCGCTCTTCTTCCAGTTCCTTCTCGGCACGTCTGCGAGCTTTCTTCCGTTGGGTCTTGGTCAAACCCGTATTCTCTATGGGCTCCTCGTCTGGACTCTCGATATGCTTGGCAGGCGTCTTGGTGGACTCTAAAGTGGGGGATGGTAGTAACGCCTCATCAGAGTTGCTCAGTTCGGACTCAGGATCGAGTGGCGGCAGTGGCGCGGCGTCGGTATCGGCAAAGCCTAAGCTTTCGAATAGCTTGGAGAAGCTTCCTAGGCGTATTCCTCCATCTTTCAGCCCAGAAGCTTTGGGTGGCGCCGCAGGCCGAAGCGTTGGGCTGCTAACGTCTTGGGCTCCCGAGTCTATCAAGTTGATAACGGAGCTGAAGTCCCAGCCGGAGTCGGGCGGTTGTGAAGGCATTTGATTGTTTTCGGCGAGTGAAATGGGGTTTAGCTTTCGTGCGTGTTCGTCGTACGGACTTGGGTGCTATTGTGCAGATGACACTGGGCCATTATTAGTTATGTGGACGACAAACCATGGTTAGGGCGCTCAAGGCTACCACCCGCACCAGCGTATGGTACAGCGTGATAGAACCTCGACGAGCCAAGTACGGGCGCGCCTTCTATATCGTAATAAATGCCAAACATACCGTGTAACTGATCTCGAAACAATGGCCTCAATCGCACGCTCATGGTCTATCGCGACAGGTTAAAGGCAGGAGTGTCGCCAGGCTGAACGGAGGGCGTCAGACACGAGTGAAGAGGAAGGAATAAGTAGTGACTGAACAACGAGAGTGGCGCGAGGGTAGGGGTAAGTAAGTGAGCTCTGGGTGGCGGCGGGGTGAGGGTGATCGGCACGTAGTCACTTGTGTCTCAGCCTCATAAGGTCAGTGCTCATGAATCATTCGGGTCGGGTCGACATGCCAACGCCACCACGAATGACACATACAAACCGAGTGCAGCTTATTGGGCTTCTTGCACGCCAATCTAGATCGTGCCACAAACCAGCCTGTACATCGAGTTTAATCATCGGAAAGACAGCAGGATGTCACAGTGTTCTTCACTTGTTGCTTATTCGTTGGTGCTGTCGAGCGCACGAACGACGTCAAGCGTCCCGTGAGAAACTGGATGGATCGCCAATAAAGTAAACATGATCTATGCAATCTACGATGCAGGGTACTCAAATTTATGTTTCCAGAATTACACTACAAGTACCCTCGATGGAACCCGGACCTAAATCAGCCTCTCATCCAAGATAGTTCGTTGTCCATCAACATGCATAACAATGGATTGAGATGCCTAGGTAAAGAGCGTTCCTGGATACCCGCCGTATGCGAGACGTCAATTACGAAGTTAGTAGCAATCAGAACAATTGCCAATTATACGCTATGTGCGCATCTTCAAGGCATCTGTTTACTATGACAATCTCTCTTACGATATGCCTCGGCATCCAAACCTCGTGCCCCACAACCCGCATCTCTCCAGCAACCATTCCCCAAGTACCCCTCCAATCTGTCTCCTTCACAGCCCTCTGAAGAAAACCATGTCAGCGGATTTTTGGGCGGGCTACGTATCCGGCGCAGCAGGCATAATTATTGGCAACCCTCTTGACCTAATAAAGACGCGTCTGCAAGCTGGTAAATCAGCGCAAAATGTCGAAGCTACAATATCGACAGGTGCGGTGACAGCATCACAGGGGTACAAGGGACAATTTGAAAATGCCGGGACGCTCGTAAGAGGTGAGTGAATATATCAAGCCAACAATCCCAAGATCACTAGGCTGACTTGACTTGTCCAGTATAGGCGCAACAGCACCCATTCTGACTTACGGCGCGCTCAACGCCCTTTTATTCATGACATACAATCGCACTCTCTCGCTCCTTAACGACTCTCCTGCCTCTCCTCAAAACTTCTCCAAAGTCTTTTTAGCAGGTGCAACAGGCGGCCTCGCATCTTTCGTGGTCAGTGCACCCACTGAACTCGTCAAGTGCCGTGCACAAGTTGCCACGAGCGCGACAACGACGTCCTGGAGTGTAGCGAGAGATGTGTGGAAGGCAGAAGGCATCAGGGGCTTGTACTACGGGGGCGGAATTACTAGTGTGAGAGATGCAGTGGGATATGGTTTCTAGTCAGTATTTACCTGTTATTGCGATCGAACAACGACAAAGAACATTGACTGACCAATTACTTAGTTTCTGGTCTTACGAACTCTCGAAACAAGCCTGGAGCTCACCAGACGATTCAGATAGGGAAACGGCTATGAAAGTGCTGCTGTGTGGAGGTCTGGCTGGAGTGATAACATGGGCATCCATATTTCCGCTGGATGTTATCAAGACTAGGGTACAAACGCAGGTACTACATGCACCCGTACAACCCGGTGAACAGAGCTCGCTGTTAGGAGCAGAAACACCTAGGACGCGTTTGAGCTCTGTCGAGATTGCCAGGCAGGCCTACCGGACAGAAGGCGCAGGCGTTTTCTTCCGCGGCCTTGGGATATGTAGTATACGGGCGTTCGTGGTTAATGCCGTTCAGTGGGCTGTTTACGAGTGGATGATGAAGATGCTACAGCAATAACAAATAGCTTGGCCTACTGTTGCCAGATTCAAGAAGATGAGTGCATAGTGACAAATTGTGATTGCTGAAGGCCAGGGCTATGAAACCATTAGGTGACTATTCCATTTCGACACCGAGCCTTTTTGAGTAATAAGGAAATTTTGGTCCGCTACAAAAACATGCCCATGATCAAGACCAGGTAGCATAATCCCTTCAAAGCTCCGTCATGTGTGTACATGTGAGACTTGAGAGAAAAGTAGTTCCTAACATGACGATGCTCCTAACAAGAGCAGATAGGAATCCGTGTGCATCGAACCTCTGATGCTTGCGCTTTGAAGAAATACCGTACAAGACTGATCCCATTACATAATCTGATCCTGGGTCAATCCACCAGTATGCTCGGTACCCTCCATGGCATCGCCGTTACCCACGTTGGTGTACTTGACATAGGCCAAGCCAAGAGGCCTACCACCGTACTGGTATCCAGTGAATTTGGCTACATATGTGTTAGTAAGTAAAAAGCAATGAGCGTCAATGAGCTTACCAATAGAGGTCTCGGCATCTGCAGCTTGGGCAAACTCGACGACACCGGTTCCCCGGGAGCGACCATTGGGCTCGTACTGGATCTCAGCACGTTCGACCTTGCCAATTGTAGTGAAGAGCTCGACGAGGTCCTCGTTGCTGGTTGACCAGGGTAGGTTGCGGACGTAAATGGTGTTGCTGGGCTCTCCGCCTGCAGTAGCGTAGTCTGTGAATGGGTTTGGCGCGGGGGGAGCAGCGTTGGGGTCGAAGGCAGGGCCACCAGGAGCGCCGCCGCCAAAGCCGCCACCACCGTAGCCTCCACGACCTCCGAAGCCACCGCCAAAACCGCCACGGCCGCCAAATCCTCCACGGCCACCGAAGCCACCACCAAATCCGCCACGGGCGCCGAATCCGCCACGACCACCAAAGCCACCAGGAGCGCCAGCAAAGCGATCCTCACGAACCTCTAGGTTTCGGCCCTGCCAATCGTAGCCATTGAACTGAGTAATGGCGTTACGGGCATCCTCAGGTGTCTCAAAAGCGACAATACCGGAACCCTTGGGGCGGCCATCAGGTGCAATATGGACGTCAGCACGAAGCACTTGACCGTTGTTAGCGGCCTGGCGGAAGAGGTCCTTGAGGTCCTGCCATCCTACGTTATAGGGAAGCTAGATGGTAGGGTCAGTACAGGCTGTCGACGTAAGCATTGGGAGTGTAAAAGGGGTACAAACATTGGCGACGTAGACCTGTCGTCCGGCACCGCCTCCAGCAGCTGGGCCGCCAAAGCCACCTCCATAGCCGCCGCGTCCGCCCATTCCGCCGCCAAAGTCTCCGCGTCCGCCGCCGCCGGGGGCGCTGAATCGAGGCTCGGCCTCTCGGTCTTCGCGAACGTATACGAGTCGGCCCATAAGGTTTTGGTTGCTGAGCGATGCAACAGCGTTCTGCGCCTGCTCCCGGGTGGCATATTCCACGATGCCACAGCCCTACACCCAAGCAAAAGCCAGTCAACCTCCATCCTTCTCACGATCAAGACAAGCCATCATCCATTACCTTTGACATTCCGTTCGGCAGCAGCAACACGTCTGCAAAGAGTACCTCTCCAGCTATTTCCGCATTAGTCCAGCTCTTGACGCGGCGCAACACATCCCGTACCTTGGCGCATGAAGTCCTTCAGGTGGTGCCACTTGACATCGTAGGACAGGTTGCCGACGTAGACACGGCGGTCTTGTTGCGAAGAATCCCTAATACTCTGCATCATTTCCTTGTTTTCGACGGGTCGCGATGAAGCTCCTCGACCAGCACCGTAAGACTGATAACCTCCAGCACCTTGCGCACCACTGTTGGGGGACCGCGAGCGGCGTTCAGTGCGACGATAGTCCTCTCGGCTGCGCGAGCGGCTACGGGGGGAGTAGGAGCGTCTGGAGCGTCGCGGTGAGCGAGATCGTCGACGAGGTGAGCGGTCGCGCTGCTCATAGTTGTCAGTTTCGTACGACATGATTGCAAGATTGACGCAATGTGTCGAGGCGGGAGCGAGGTTGTTAAAGGTTAGGCGATGGCGAGCAGTTGCGGGCTCGCGTGGTTGATGGGGTTGAGGAGAGGTTGCGCGAGCAGGTGAGGGCTGGCAGCTCGGAGCTTGGTCAACGACAGGCCGCCCGGGGGCAGTTGCCAAAAGCGTCAGTCACGTGACGGTCACGTGACAGCGACGGGCAATGGATCGAAAGGTGACGACTGCCTCGGAAAGGTTCAGAGGTAGGCATCATCAATGTCGTGATCGTCGCTCCCGCCTACTGCGCCGCGCAATGCGGCAGCCTTGCTATCCACCTGAACTGTGCCTGGAGGCAGGAAACGGAGATAAAGGGACTTGGGTACTTACTCGGTCGCTTGGACGATAGTTGTCTCCTGCAGAGTCTGGTAGGCAGAAGTCAGCAGGCAAAGTGTCAAGTTGTAAGAGGAAGCAGAACCGTGATGGTGCGGGAGATGGCAAAAGCGTTGAAAGGCCGCCAGGGAGGGGAAGTTACGGATGCGTATATAAGAGGGGCCCACTTACCCATCCTGTGTATGAGAAGTAGCTACCGGTGACACTTGCTTAAGGCCGGCTTCCCTGCCAGCTGAACGGCCAAGTGGTGCAGATATCACGCTGCAGAGAAATTGCCCTTCTTCCGTCCACGCCTCAACGATGACGCTATATGGGTCCTCGACGGTACAAGTCTCCCCACGGCACGGCACCCAGCCAGCCAATCGCAATCCAGAAGCACCCACCGCGAGCCTGAGGGACGTCCCAGCAGTCTGGGTTGGTTGACGGAGGTTGAGGTTGCAAGACCGATCGGGAGCGTGTCGGTAAGCCTTGGATGTAGCTGAACCTGTCGTGAATTCACGGTTGGCGTCTACACGATGATTATTTCCGTAGTTGAGTATTTTCTCTTCCTTTTTCCGAGAGTCGTGCGGACGGCCAGCTTCCAGGCAAACACCCTGATGGTTGGTCGGACTGTGATGGAGGGCTGCGTGTGGGTCTGTGGAGTCGTTCGGTCGTTGTGCCTTCCCCCACCATTCTGGAGGCCGTGCGCCTTCTGCGGGAACGGGTTCCTTAGCCGCGGCTTCTGTCTGTCCACTATTTACTCCGCATGGCTTCTTTATTCAAACACTCAAGAACTCGGCATCACATTCGTCAATTCAAATACAGGGCCGGTCTTGAGTCGCTGCGGGTGTGGAATCCTAGCAAACACTGTCAAGCTGCCATAGTCTGGACCCTTATCCATGTGCACTGTTACATCGTCAGATCTCATCGTCGATTTAGCTAAAGTCGTAACACCAACACACACCCGTACTTGTATCACCAGTTCACCCAGTCTGTCCCTCCAGGCCTAGCCGCGCAACTATGGTCTAGACCTGAATCTTAACGGATATATTGCTTCTCGGTTGCTCGCATGCTCTAGATGTACCGGACTAAACATGTAAGCCGTTCGGTGCACTTTGTGCTATCAGGCGCTTGCTTGCTTCCGGAGACAGCAGTGCGTTTGTCATCGCAAAACTGTTCCTATGACGTTCTTAGACTAAAGGTCAACTGAAGCAACCGATTGCTTTAGAACGAGCTGGTTGCTGCTCGTAGATAGGTGCAGCAAACTTTTGCCTTCTACTTTTTAGCACCGATGAAGATGGTCGTCGCGTCCTTTGACTATCTGATATTTTGCATACACTGACTCAAAGAGTTTGCCTGACAGTCCCGACAAATGTTCCAGAGGCTTCAATCTACAATCCATGTATCTTGAGAAGCACAGAGCCGAATGCGTGGCTGGAAAGTAAGATGTGAGTTGCTCACTCTTGTAACGGACTGCAAGGTCAATAAGTTAAGAAATGACAGCTCCATGGCTTCCAAGTGCTACAACTACACAATGGCGCTGTAAAATGTTGTTGCCTCGAATCGCTCCAGTTTTCGTTAAGGGAGCTGAATATCGCCAGAGGCAGTATAGATGTTGCAATGCGAGTCGGCAATAGGGCCAAAGGGTAGACGACGTCATGAGGCTCAAAGCCGAGGTTCCCCACAACCAAACGTCTCCATGCATCTCTAGTTCGCCCATAGACTAATATGCATGTTTACTCTACATCGCTATATGCGAAATCCTATAGCTGTCTGAAAACTATCTTCCAGACGCAACCGTGTGCCTGTTACTCCTTTCTGCTGTCGAGTCCAAGATGCCTACCAAGTCGCCTTTTCCGGATGTAAAGATCCCGAGTGTCGACCTCTGGGGTCTGATGTTCGATCGCAAAGACCGCGACTTCTCCGACGACAAAGTCATATATCGCGCCATCAACTCTGACCGACGATACACGTTTGCTGATGTAAAGAGCCATGCGACATTGTTTGGTGAAGGCCTGAGAAATCTCTGGGACTGGCAGAAAAACGACGTCCTCGCATTATATGCACCCAACGATGTCGATATACCGTCCGTCATCTATGGAACGTTCTTTGCCGGTGGCATCGTCACGCCTGCCAACCCAGGGTACTCCAAAGATGAGCTGGCTTACCAATTGGAGAACTCTGGAGCTAAGGCACTTGTCACAACCAAGGCCTTCTTGGATACCGCGTTGAAGGCCGCAGAGAAGGTTGGAATTCCAAGTGACAGAGTAATCTTATTGGGTACCGAGAAGGATGAGACACATCGATGCAAGCATTGGACTAGCATCCGAAAAACATCAGGTGCACTGCGCTATCGCAGGAGGAGGACAGACCCTGAAGATTTGGCATTCCTTGCTTACAGTTCTGGAACCACGGGACTACCAAAGGGTGTTATGCTTAGCCATCGAAATATCGTCGCAGATCTACTCCTGGCACAGGGAGCAGTCGGAAACTGGTATTCGTCAGCAAACGACAAGTTTCTCGGAGTACTCCCGTTCTTCCACATATACGGTATGTTGCAAGTGCTTTCCGAAGTAGAATCTAACAAAGATAGGTCTTACCGGCTTGGTGCACCAAACATTACATCGCGGTATCGAGCTTGTAGTAATGCCTGCTTTTGACATGGAAATCTTTCTGCGAACGATACAAGAGCACAAAATCACGTTCATCTACGTTGCACCCCCAGTCATCGTGCGTTTATCTAGAGATAAGATGGTAGACAAGTACGACCTCTCGTCAGTCAAGATGATAACGAGCGGCGCGGCTCCACTGACCAAAGAGCTGGTCGACGCTGTGCACAAAAGGCTGAAGCTTAAGATCAACCAAGCTTATGGTCTGAGTGAAACAAGTCCAATGACACATACCCAGGTACGTTTGTCTTTGTATCAGAGAAGGGTAAACCGCTAATAACCAGCCAAAGCCATGGGATGAGTGGTACAGTTCTGTGGGAAGCGTAGGAAAGATGTTCCCAAACATGCAAGCAAAGTATATTTCAGCCGACGGCAAAGAACTCGGTCCCGGCGAAGCAGGCGAACTCTGGCTCAGCGGCCCCAACATCTTCAAAGGATATTGGAAGAACGAGTCGGCGACAAAAGAGGCTATCACATCTGATGGATTCTTCAAAACGGGTGACATCGGCTTTCAGGACGAACAGCATAATTTCTACATCACTGATCGAGTCAAAGAGTTGATCAAATACAAGGGCTTCCAAGTGCCACCCGCTGAACTCGAAGGAAAGCTTATGGAGAGCGAACTTGTAGATGACGCAGCGGTTATTGGGGTCAACGACGAGCAGCAGCATACAGAAGTTCCCAGGGCGTATATCGTGGCCTCGCAGGCTAGCCACGCTGGTGCTGGAGAGGCCGAAGCTAGGGCTATAGTGGACTGGATGGACAAGAAGGTAGCGAACCACAAGCGACTAAGAGGTGGTATTGTGTTTATCCAAGAGATACCGAAGAGTGCAAGCGGGAAGATTTTGAGACGGATACTCAAGGAGAGAAGCAAAGATGATGTACCCTTGGGTGTAGTCTCCAAGCCGAAGCTGTGAGATAGATGGACTTTCAGTAGAATTTATTATACCCTTCTCCCAAGACAGAATCATTTCAACCTAGGAGATTGGTCTTCAAGGCAGGTGTTCACTCCCCTCGGCACAGAACCCTCTACAGATTCGTTTTAAAACGGATGAAGTCCTTTGATGGACTCCTGCGCACATGCATGGCAGTGATCACAGTAGTTGCCACAAAATCCGTGAGTAAGAAATATCTAAATAGACGACCTATGAATCCACAATATTATTCGTCTTTGTAAGTCTCTTGATTAGATTCTAATGTAGGCTGCACATCAGGATCTAAGAAAAACTGGACAAATTCATCATACGTGGTATTGCACACATCTATTCATCAGTAGTCCTCTTATAAGGTATCAAGTATATATACATTTATCTAAGCTACCCATGCTGATTCATATCCGTCGTAAATACTCGTGCTCAGTAAACCTTGTCCACCACATTACCAGTAAAAAACCTGCGACCAGAAATTGTTGCAGTCTTATTGAACTCCGTTGTTCATGAAGACCATTTGATAAAAAGAATACTCCAGTGAAAAGAAAAGTGGGGACGAGATGACACCCGTCATGTGTTACGCCAGCCATGTCCGCTCGACAGTGTTAAGCCAAAGCTAAGAGACTTTTTGTATATGCCGTGGAATATAGAGGGAGGGAGGAATCCGTGTGAAGGGGAACACACTCCGTATGCAAGTCGCCAGAAACGCTGAAAGTTTTCCAACCTTTTTTTTTGTAGAAATAGGAAAAAATGCCTTTGTATAGGTGTCGTGAACATGTCGCTAAAAGAGCGAGCCGAGGGATGAGATTAGGCAAATTCATCTTTGCCACATACTTGATGCGTCGACTCAAGCATTGCTACCCCAAGGTCCGGTTTCTTTTCCGAGTCCAGACGAGCCAGTAGTGCGATGGCCGCCGACAGGTGCAAGGTTCGGGCTGCCCTTGCCGCCACTGCCCCAGGATAGACCACTTAAACGTTTGTTGCTCGTACTGGAGGTAGTAGAGGCACCATCCCTGCTCTTGTTGAGGTCGTCCTCTTCTTCCATACTGAAAAGACCTTGCTCTTCCTCGATCCTCTCGCGGTTAATGCTGCTGCTGCTTACAGCACGATCGATACCAAGACGCCCACTGGAGCTACCAATGCTGGATGCCGAGGTAACGCGGTTGATCCCCGGATGGACGGGGTTGCTGGTGATGCCAGTCTCTTCACGAGATGATAGTCGAGTTCGCTGCAGTTGTTGGCTGATCATGCTCATGGAAGCTTGACGGGGAGGCGAAGCTAGGTAAGGGCTCATATCACCAGTAGTCGGTCGATTCATAGCGCGCAACGAAGGGCTGGCTCCCGGGTGGAGGCTTGAGTTGCGTAGTGGTGAGCCGACGTGTCCGAAAGCTGACTGACCTGGGAGGGAACCTGATTCAAACCCTTGCTCGTAGGTCGGTCCTCTCGGCTTGGCCCACATGGACTGGAAGCGCGAGGGGGAGGCGGTTGCGGCCGATGGGGATCCATATTTAAGGTCCGATGCTGTTGGCGATACACCAAACCTGGATTGTGAGGTGCGGTTGTCGCTCTCGCCCTGGTCACGGGAGAAGCGGCGCATCTTTTCCTGGGGTGTGAGAAGATCGCTGAGCGAGTTTGGCAGTAGGTCTTCCTCGAATTTGCCAATCATGTCCGTCTCATCCCATTCTTCGTCCTTGTACGTCGGACGCGCGCCCACACTTGAAGACATGATACCCCGAGACCGATTAGCAGCAAGCTCGGAATGTAGCATCCTCCGCCCCACTGGCTGCTCGACGGATTCTGGCGGGGATGATCCCAATCCCGCAATGCCTCTCCGCAGACCATCTCCAAATGCAGAGTCGTGTAGGTTTCGGAGAGCAGGCGAGTCGGCTTGGTATGAGGATGGCGGAGAGTTTGCAAGGAACTTGGCGGGTACGGAGGAGGCGATGGGGCCATATCGGGCCATGGTGGAGACACCCTGGCTGTCGAACGAGGCTGGGAGTCCTACGTCCATGACGCTCAGGCCCTTTTGGGTTGGCGATATTGGAAGTCGGCCGTTCTCGTTTGGCGGAGAGCCGTAGTTGGAACCTGGGTGGGAAGAGAAAGTGGTGTCAATGGTCGGGATCATGTCGTACTGGTTCTTCTGGTTCGCGTATTCGTCGGGCATGGCGTAAGGATAGCCGGGCTGCATACCGCCCATGTGTGCCTGCATGGTAAGCAGCGAGCTGTTCATAGGTAGCTCCTGATGGTGTGGAATGTTCATGCGGCTGAAGTGGCCGCCGGCATTTCCGCGGTTCACGACATGGCCGTTGGGGAGGATGTGGGCGAGAGCACATTTCTGGCCGAACTTGCAGTTTCCCTGTTTGGGCAATCAGTAACAATCCATCGTCTCTTGCAATCGTCCCACCTTTGTGAAATACTTGCAGGGCGCTCGCTCTGTCAGCGGCTCATCGGAGTGCAAGAACGGGCACGCCTTCCCAGCCTGACATGCGCCTTGCCGGTAGAACTTGCAGGGCACGTGTGAGGTATCTGCCCTTGTCAGCCGCTGTGTGCACACATTGGGCGTTGTCTCGACCTACTCTTGTTGTTTGGCGGACTGCGCGGGCCAGCAAAGCCCATGTCGCGCAAGTTTGCTCGATGCTCTTGGCCATTGATGCGCCCGCCAGGCACTGCCATGGGTCCATGACCGTTTGCGCCCGCCATTGCGCCGTTGGAATGCTGGGGCCGGAGGTCGCGTGAAGCTCGTCGTGATACCTGCGGTGGATTCGACGTGTATGGCGCGGTTGGCGGGTTGAGTTGATGGGAGAAGGGTCCGTGTTGGAGATGCTTTGGTGGGGGCTCCTGGTGGGGTTTCTCGCCGACGTCTGAAGGAAAATTGGTAGGCGCAAAGGTAGCCATAGCTCTGAAAAATGGTAGCGGGCCTCGGGCCTGAATCGGCGGTCTACCTTCGGCGACAGTGAGAGATTTCTCCCAGAGACAAGGAAACCCGAGAAAGAGACTGCTATCACCCGTGAAGAGGGCAAGCTTGTCGGGCAAACGCTAGTATCTACGCGGTAAAGGCTGCAGAGCGGCAGGTCGCTTGTGGCGGACTACTGGAACGAGGACATGCGACAATCCCGCGCCAGCCACGGGGCAATTGGGGACACTGGGGCCTGGGGACAAGGCGAATAAGAGGGGCAGCGAGAAGTGGGAAAAGAGGAAACGGAAATGCAAGCAACGCTGGAGAATGATACGCCGGCTATATCGAATGCCCGTGGTGCTGCCGCCTCAGCGGTTCGCGCGTGATATGTTAATCGTCGCGGCCGCGTGACGCCATAAGAGGACCCTGGACGTGTGCATGGGGGACCTCGGAAGTCGCCATGGCATGCTTGCACCCACCCTACGCGTCGTTCCTGGCCTCCGCCCTACGGAGTTGGCTGCCGACGCGTAGTTGACTCCCCTTCAGCTCACATGGCAGTTCCCGCCTGAAACACATCTCGGACGACCATTGCCGTGGAGTATGTCGCCGCCCAATCGAGCCTTTACGCCTCACTGCAACTCTCGCACCTAGCTGTCACCTGAGGCTGCCATCACGGTCATCTGCAGCAAGAGCGGCGCATTCGTTGCAGACCCATCTTTTCAATTCAGGTCTAGACACACCTCCTCCAAAAACTGCTATGCTAGTCTTGTTATCATCCTATCCTTCTTGAAATCTTCCAACAGTATAACACATATCCAATGAGATAGTACGACGCCTCGCCACTCCATTGACACCCTAGACCAATACGCTAGCTGTGTCCGATACGTAGTATACCAGCCGAACAGGTGTTGTTGTACCACTCCATCTGCAGATCGTCCACCATGTGCACTTGCGGTATGCCCAACAGGTATGTGTAGGCATTGAACTGAATCCCAGAAAGCGCCCGGAACTGGTCGTTGAAAAAGACCTGGGTAAGGTGGCAGTCGATGTACCCCCAGCATGCTGGAATCGTCGCATTCTGTTCTGCAACGAGCACCTCTTCTTTGAGGACAGAGTCATAGCGATAGCCAGACATCCGCAGTGTACAGGGCTCGAGACCGCTGAGAGCGCAACCAAAGTAGGCAGAGTACGCGTTGAACCAGTAGGCATCGACCGAAGCCCGTGGTCCGGCACCAAGCTCACCGGGAAGCATCATACCCGCAAATGGCGTGTTTGGAAGGAGGCGCCCGGTCAGAGGCAGGAACATTGCGATGTTTGGCTGCGAGATAGCGGGGTATGGCTCCCACATGTCAGGTATATATGTATATCCGTTGGCATAGAAGAGGTGGTGGTACGGGTTCGTCATGCCATTGGCAACAAGCAGTATGCTGTTGTCATCACCGACGACTGTGTCATCGAAAGTCAGTGTGAAGTTGCCCGACTCGCCACAAGACGACGGTCCTGGGAGATCAGGAAGCGCCACGGTTGTCGTTGCAAGCATGGTTGTCTCCAAAGTTTGGGTAGGCTCGACCTCTGTGATGGGAATGTCCTGACGCCTCGCTAATGTTGACGTTCCTTCATCGCCTTCTTCGAATATCGTCGTCACCACCGTTTTAAAGCGCCTCGACCTGGATGAAAACACTTCAAAGGAAGGGAGGGCTGAGAGCGGTGTCTGCCGCTCAGTCCGTGTTGTCAACGATATGGTTTGCAAGTCCGATGGCATCAGCCCAGTTACTGTAGGGTATAGTCCTGTCCAGTATGACATTGTCGTCGTGATGTTGGGTGATGGGAAAACGAAGCTTACTGCAGCATCTCCGAACGAAATCACCTTGGTCACGGCCCGGAAGAGAGACGAGGACGTTGCGTTTAGGCCAGAAGGAGAAGGTGGAGTTACTACTGGAGAGGTACTTGTCGACGACGTCAATGTTGAAGTGAGGGTGCTTGGTGAGACAACACCGGAGCTCGCAAGAGACATCGATGCAATGGTGTCGGTCTGGATGCTCATAGTGCCATCAAGCGAGGTTGAGCTGCCACGCAGAGAGCTAGAGCTGGGATTGGAGCTCGTTATGGTATTCGACACCAATAGTGCAGAGGAAGACGTTGAGTTTCTGACGATTGAAGACGAAAAGTTTGTACTAGGAAATAAAGTAGGAAATCCAGTCAAGGTATCTGAGACCAGCATGCTGGTCAAAGACGTACTCAAGGACTGCAATGATGAAGTAGAGCTCGGTGTAAGAATTGAGTTGAGTGAAGAAGCAGACAGTGTAGAGAGTGACAAGGTAGATCCTGTCGGTAGTGTGATCGAGATGCTGTTTGTACTGCTGATCTGTGTTGGAGTTGAACTGATTGGAACCGAGTTACCCGATGTGATACCGGAGTTTGTACCTAGCAATGAGGTAAGAGTCCTTGATGATGTGCTTGAGGAACTCCCAGTACTGCTGGCCAGGCTAGGACTTGGATTAGGTAGGTTCGAGGTGCTTGAAGACGGGCCGGCAGGAGAAGATGTTTCTGAGGAAGGTCTTGGAAGAGACACAGTGAAGCCATCGCTCCGAGTGTAAGATGACACAGAGGACTCCAAAGAGGTCGTTATGCTAGTGGTAAGTGAAGTCAATTTACTTGATAGAACTGATGTCCATGTTGTAAGAACACTCGAAGTCAGCGGTAGACTGAGCCCTGATGTAGGCTGCGAAGACATGCCACTAAACGTGCTCGAAGGTAGGTTTGGATTCAGACCAGGCAGGCTGCTCGATGGGATGACGGATGGGAGACTAGAAATCGAGGGTGTGGAGAAGGTGGATGGCAAGACAAGTGTAGATAGCGTAGTGACGACAGTAGAGAGTCTGCTGCTGGTAGTGATAACGGTGGCAGATGTAGAAAACGACGGATATGGTCTCTGTGGTTGGTTGATCGGTCGAGTTAAGTCCGACGTCTCAGATGATGTTGGGCCCAACGGGGACAAACTCACAGACGACAAAGCCAACGAAGAAGTTAAGGGACTACTTCCAAAGACACTAGTACCGACTGACGATCCAAATGTGAATCCAGAGGTCAATGACGACGTAAACGTTGCGCCTAGTTCTGGAGTAGAAGGGTTGAATATGGACAGCGCAGATGTAGTCGTCGCCTGCGTTGATGATGCGGTGGCAGCACCGGAGGAAGATGTTCCTATTATCGACAACGAAGAAACGATAGGTGTAATATCCGCAGTTCGGGTAATAAGGGTACTGAAACGACTGGGCGGCGAGATACTGTTGAGCCACTCTGTTGTGCCGTTGATGACGGAGAAGTAGTATGTACCTCTTGCAGGATTTGTAGGAGATGCACCGATGAGCGAAACCGTAATGATCGGCCCAGGCACAGTGACATAGACGACGCTGCAGTTTCCATCCAAGCCTTGAGCGGCGACTCCAGGCAGTGCTCTGAGCAGAAAATCTAGTACGACGTAGAAGCCAGCGATAGCCAAGCCAATCAGAACTAATGTCAGGACAAGATCCTGGAGGGTTTGCCGGTCGGTCCAGTGTATCTGAACCAAGGCCAGGAAAAAGTGGTATGTCCACTTCAAGGCACGGCATGGCCACCAGCCACCAGGCTTAAACCCCCACGAGAACTGTTTCGAAGACTTCGTCTTGGGTTGGGGGTGCTGCTTTGGACCTTCCCATGTACTTGAGATGACCGAATCTCGTTTTTCTTGAGCACCCTTTATACGCGACATAGGAGCAGCAGGCGAGGTGCTGGTGGAAGTTTTGGATGTGGTTGCGTCCTTGAGTGAGGCGGTGGCTGGCATGCTGAGCTTGCTTTGAATAGGGTCTGCTAGTAGGTGCCGACGATCAACTGCACTGCTCGTGGATCTGGTTTTGACGTTCTCGTTCACAGATGTCAATGTTGAGGGGATATTGGAGCCACTGGTGCTGCTCGTAGATGTGTTTTCCTTCCTCGCTCTGTTCTTGTTGCGGACTTTGTTCTTACCCATGATGAGAGAGGAAATGCTGTTGCTATGATACACCTGCGAAGATGACGCTGATATGCTGTTGTGCAAAGATTGTATTGCGCAAGGTATTCAAAAGTGCTGTTGTTGTGGTGATGAAGGACAGCAGTAACAGACTGATGCTTTAAAGCCCAGCGCATCGAGAGCGTGCCTGCCATGAGTGCGTTAATAACAAAGTGAGCAAAGACGATGGATTGATAGAGTGAGAACGACGCGAGATGTTTGCAGGGCGTGTGGAAGGCAAGAAATGTAGTGGTTGGTCGCTCTTGTCTCGGGATGTCGCAGCACCCGACGATTTGACATGTATGAATCCGTGCTTGATTAATCCTTGCAAATGTAGCTTGCCTATCGCCATAGTCACCATCATTTGCTCTACTCCTTCAAACAGCACAGGTCCTTTTTCTTCACAGCATGCTCTTAACATACATCACTAGACGGTGAAGTTTGTTGGAGCAGTAGCGACCGGGCAGCTTCTGATTGTATCAACTCTCCGATTACGCTCTTATCTCCCACATCCTGATATGTCCAGCTTCGTTGGCAACTGCTAGTTGCGCAAGGCTGCCTTCTTTCTCCTCCTCTTCGGTCGGCCTTCCCCACGCGACTGCCGTGATTCTGCCAAGTGGCGTCTTTTCTGTAGGCCAGTTCTTGAAAACAGTAGCTGATGGCAGATGCACAAGCCTCATGGCATTGTTCTTCCAGCGACTCGCCATGGCAAGGACTTGGCCATCCGCTGTGAAGGCAAGATGCGAGATGGGCGTCGTCAGATTCTGCAAATCGCGCAACGGCTTCGGTGCCTTTGGGATACCACCATTTGAGTCGGCTTTCGTGCTGTCGACTGACGGGTCCTTCTCGCTCCATGCTCGCCGGTCGTAGACATTGACCACGCCACTTGAGCTTCCAATGGCCACCCATCGATCACCACCCAGCCAGCTTTCACGCCCGCTCTTGCCGCCAAGTGCGATGGTTGTAGTGCCCACGGCACCCTCGTCGTTCCATCGTCCAACGACACCCTCTTGGACGCTCCACTCAGTCACCTCTCCGTTCTTTCCCGCAATGCTCATACCGCTGCCATCACCCCACCACGCGAAGTCTGCAATTCCGCCTCTTGACTCGATGCGCACCTGTGTCGCCCATTGAAGAGTTCTTGCATCTAGAATGTTGACAACACCACCGCCCTTTCTTGAAGAGCCTCTGAGAGCCATGTATTTGCCGTTGGGTGACAGGGAGAAAAACTCCATTGTCCGCTGTTCGTGCTGATGGCCATAGACACGCGACACCTTCTCAACTCTGCCTGTTGCGATGTTCCAGACATGGAAGTAACGGCGTCGTGCGCTAAGGAATATGCGCGAGTCCGAGGGGGAGGGATGGAATGCTGTTGTTGCCAGCGGGGTGCGCTTGATGTGCAGAGACGTAAGAAGAGGGTTCGGGTTGGGCGGGTTGGGGTTGACGTGGTGAAGGTAGAGCGTTGAGCTAGGGCCAGATGAGAGGAGGAGTGGGTACGCAGGATGGAAGGAGAGGGAGGTGACAGCCGACTAGAGAAATGGTCAGTAAGATGTTGGTGTACGATAGTATTGCGCTACTCACCGGCCCGGCCTTCGCGACATCTTTCAATCGTTGAATGTCGATGGTGCCTGCTTGTAATTTTCTTCGCTTCGCCATGCTCCTTGAAGTGCGTGAGAGAATATCCGCATCCTTGAGTAGCAGAGCCAGTGGCTGCGTAGTGAGATCGTCTTCATCCACGTCCATGTCGCTGGCAGACTCCTCGCCGCTCTCGTCGTCATCCATGGTCCGTCGCCGCTTCTTGTTGGCCTTGCCTGTCGCGTGTGCCGCCCAGTCTGGGGTGGGGTATAGCCTCTGGTACTGCTTCCGTAACCGCCGCGTGTATTCCTTGCCATTGACCATGTCGTCGTCTGCCGTTTCTCGCAACTTCCTCAATTGCGGCACCGAAGCCAGACTAACAACCAGTCTTTCGTCGTCGCTGTCTTCCCAGGCGGGTTTGCCGTCATCCTCATCCGACTCGGCTACCTTTGCGGCTACAGAGCCTGCAGGTGCAGGAACTGGACCAGCATCGAAGAAGAATAGATCTTGGTCTGCCACATTGTCCAGGTCGGCCGCCTCTGCTCCAGACTCGTCTAATGAATCTCCGTATGCGCCGGCGGTAGGATCGAGGGAGAAATTCTCCAGGCCTTGACGGAAACCTTCCGAGTCGCCGAAAATCATGCGCTCCAGCTCCTCTTCCTCGGCGTCCTTGGGCAAGACAGGCTTTTCCCGCTTTGGCTCCGTCTGGATATCTATGCTCTCTGCATCGCTGTCTTCGTCTTGAGCGCCATCTTTCCCAGACTCCTCCTCTGTGCCGAAGCCTTCAAAGTCGTCTTCTTGTGGTTCCTTCACCGGCTGCAGCGCGCCTGCATTTGCATCGTCGCCGCCTTCGAGTTCGGGTTGAAAGCGCGCAGGGTTCTTCGCATTCTCGGGTACGTAGCGCTGGTGACCACCAGATTTGTGTGGAGTTGTCTTTACGGACGCCATTGCGAGTTCTCGTGAATGTGCAGAGAGAGCTGCTGGCGCGCCATCGCAAAACTGAGGGAGAAATTGTTGCAGGGATAGCCCTGGTACGCGGCAAAGATAGGCGAAGCTCCGCAGCCAGCACCTCTGATCCACAACCACGCACGACTTGAGATGCACCATGTCCTAGCGACGAGCATGTCCTTCAAGATTGAGCACCTTCCGATAGTGAGACAAGGGTATTGTGTTGATTGACATTGATGCCAAGGCCATGTTCAACAGGTCTGCCTTTTGTAGGCTATTACCCAACCCCGCAGTTTAACGCGCTCCAACTGTAGGAAAGCATTGTCTGTCAGGCCTACACAGTATGCAATCTGGAGCGAAAAACTCTGTCCTTTTACGTCAAGTACGCGGAACGAAAATTACAGCACCCTGAACCGTGAGTGAAGAGAATCGTATATACTCTTACGCAACATGCTTCGGACTGCCATTGGCTGACTATTCCGACTCCGACGCGCATCTTAGGCGATACTTAACCGGGCAAGGCTTGTATGACTCTTGTCCAGGCAGATAGATGGGTATATAAGCACATTTCAGGCCTTGATATATCTCTAGTGTTGTCACATGTCTCATAGTCAAGTCCCATATTTATAGTCGTTACTCTTCTCTCTCACCCCAGACCTCTAAACCTCTCCATTTCCAGGCAACCGACAACATGCCAGATTCAAGCCTCGCCATTTCACTTCTCAAACCCGAGGAAGCAGAACAATATATGCGTATACGGCATGAGGTCTTTCGCAACACCATCAACAACATCCTCTACTCTCGGGGCGAGCCATCTCAGAAAACGCTCGACAGAGTCACAGAAGATATACGTGATGGCATAATCAACAAAGGCATCCTCTACCTCAAGTGTGTCGATACCTCGACTGGTGAGATGGTCGCAGGCGCACGTTGGCGCTACGTCAAGCCAAAAGAAGAAGGCGCGAAGGAACGTACCTGGGAAGAGGTAGATGCTGGTTTCACCATCCCAGAACCGTACGACGAGAGTGACCCAGAGCTCTTCAAAAGTCTCTACACTCTGTTCAACTCAAACAAGCGGGAGATTCTTGGCAACAGACCCTACTACGTATTGGATACGTTAGCCACGCTCCAAGCCCACGAGAGAAGAGGAGCCGGAAGCATGCTGGTAAGATGGGGCTGTGCAAGGGCGGACGAGGTCGGTGTCGAAGCCTTTCTCGAAGCCAGTCCCATGGGGGCGCCAATGTATGCGCGGCATGGTTTTCAGCCAGTCAAAGAGGTGAGTATCGATCTGAGACAGTGGGGTGGAAAGGAGTTGATGAACTTTATCGTAAGTCCCTTTGAGTCCAAATTTACTTTGTACTATGTCTAACATCGTGCTAGCTTATGTTACGACCTGCAAAGCAGTCGTAGTCATCAAAAAGGAATGTGAAAGAGGCCAGTTTCATCATCTCTCTTTATTTGCGTTATTTGCAGGCTATCCTAGTATCAAAATAAGTGGTATGCTAATGTCACGTATGATGGATGCTGCAAACATGAGCATTTTATTAGGGTTCCTTTTCTCCTACGGCTCACACAGCAGATTCAGACATGAATCAGTGTGGTTTCATATATTTGCTGTCTGTTGTGCATGTCAGGAGTTTAGATACGCTGAAATTTGAATCCATTGGCGAGGATTTGAGTGCAATAGCAAAAGGATTCGATTCCAGCATCTTCGAGGAGTAGTATCTCAAATCTTAATGCTCATAGTAAAAATGTCGCCCGAAAGAAGCCATTCATGGTCCGAATGACTTTATGAATTTTTCGTATATGCTACATTCAATTTAAGGCACCATCGGGAAAGCGTCTACTCCGGAGTCCACACCCCCGCGGGTTTAAGGCCCCCAAAATTGGCGACACCGTTTAGCGCATCAATGAGTAAGCCCTAGGGTCGTTCAACTTCGCGCATACCGTCTTCGTCGCATCTGACTGTACTTCGGTATAGTGACTGCATACTGTATGAGCACGTGCAGCCATACGACATCGTCGTCCGTCAAGATGGTCTCAGCGCCTTCAGATGCCCCTTTGGATGCATCTCATCCCACCAATACTACGGCCCAGGAGCCACCAGCATCTAAGAGCTTCTCGTGTGTACTATGTGCTCAACGAAAAGTCAAGTGCGATAAGCGGCCGGATGGTTGTGCGAACTGCACCAAGATCCGGGTTCGATGTGTTTACAAGGCCCCACCTCCAGCCCGACGAAGAAAGAAGGGCGTGCGCGAAATCGACGTAGCTACCAGGTTACGCGTGTACGAAGACGCGCTCCGCCAACTCGGAGTGGAGCCAGAAGACTTGGTCAAGCAACACTACGCGAAGGCTACACGTGGTGAAGAGTTGGTGACTGGATTCAATGGTTTCCTGGAACCACATGGGCCTAGTCGAGCGCGAAAAGCACACGTAGCATCCGAAGTTGGTGTCCTCGTGTTGGAAGAGGGTAGATCGCGATACTTGGAGAACGGATTATGGACAAGCTTGCACGCTGAATTTCGTGAACCCAAGGACATCCTCGATGAGTCTTCAGATGAAGAGGTGTCCGGAGGTAACTACAATGTCCCACTGTCTCCGTCGGCCACGGATGGCGCCGCACTGGTCATGGGCGTGCACTCAACGTCGAGCAATCTTCTGTCTCTACACCCGAACCCGGTCCAGATCTTCAAATTATGGCAAAGCTATCTCAGAAACATTCACCCGCTGGTCAAGATTTGCCACGCGCCGACGACTCAGCAGCTCATTTTAGACGCAAGTGATAATCTCCATGCTCTTCCCCGAGATACCGAAGCCCTTCTATTTGCTATCTACTGTATAACTGTAGAGTCGTTAGAAGATGTTGAGTGCCTGCTGATACTGGGAGAGCCGAAAGGCATAGCGACTCAACGATTCCGGCAAGGTGCTCAGCATGCATTGGCCAATGCAAACTTCTTAAGAAGTTCCAGTGTCATGCTGTTACAATCGTTCACCCTGTTCGTTGTAAGTTTTTGGATAGTGATCTTGATATTCCAGTCTGAACGCTAATACACGACAGCTGTCTCTACAGGACTTCGACGCCAGAGTGATCTGGATCTTTTCCGGTATCGCACAAAGGATTGGCCAACGCATCGGTCTTCATCGTGATGGCGACACTCTGAAACTACCGCCATTCGAAGCAGAGATTCGTAGGCGCCTCTGGTGGCAGATCATGGTGCTCGAAGGCTCGTCTCAGAAGCTCGCTGGAACTGGCACATCTGGTATGATCCTTCGAGGCGATGTGGGAATGCCATCCAACATCAATGACAGCGACTTATTCCCAGGAATGAGAGAGATGCCAAAGGAACACGACGGCGCCACCGAGATGATGTTTTTCCTCATTCGATGCCACGTTGGAGATTTTCTCAAGCGATCAGCGGAAGACCATACTACTTTTGATGGCCTTTGGCACCGACTCAGTACAAGCGCGGTACAAGTGGCTACCAAAGACAAAGCCATCAATGAACTTGAAAACCTTTTCCAGCGGAAATTCCTATGTTATTGCGACCTATCTATACCTTGGCACCTACTATGTATGCATCTCGCCAAGTCTGTCCTCTTCATGATGAGGTTCATGGCTCACAGCACCGACTCTTACAACGTTGATATCTCTGCCAAGGAAAAAGACATGTTATTTGATCTGGCTCTCCAGGTCGCAACTTCGCAGAACCTGGCATACACTACGAAGGAGCTGCGTGGCTTTAGGTGGCATGTCAACCTAAATTTCCAGTGGAAGGCTTTCATATACCTTATCTCTGAGCTCCGTCATCGGACTGGAGGAGAAAAGGTAGATAGTGCTTGGGCAGAAATTGAAAAGAGCTACACTTTCCACCCTAGTTTCGATAGGGATCTCTTGAAGCGAGCGCTTCCTATAGCTGTTGACAATCTCACAATCAAAGCCTGGGGCGCCTACAAAGCAGCGCAGGGTGCGCCATGTACTCCTGAGCCTCATTTCATTGAGCTTATACGTCAGCGTCACCGACAACGCCGTCGTCCAGATCTGTCCAACTCTATCATCACCGACGCAACCCTGCCGGCAATGGCTTGGAGTAACGAGGAAATCAAGATCAAGGATCACATTCAAGAGATTTCTAACGCGAACGATGCGAACTCTTTCGACTGGGCCGAGTTCAATGCTAGTCTGGGTCCGCCGGACGATGTAACAGACCTGGCGTCTTTCGAGTTTCCAGAGCCGATGAACTGGTCAACTCTGGATGATTTTTTGGTTGACTTGCGCAACAATGGTGACGTCGATACTAGTTTTGTGACTTCCGGAAATAGCAAGATGTGAACTTGTCTCAATATCAGGGTATGTAGTCAACGGGAGCAAAGCGGTCCGTGCTTGCACTCACCTTCACTTTCGACTTGAACAGAAAGCTTGTCTTGTGCGCTCAACATCCCACAGACACTCGACCCCGTACTCCACTACAAATATGTCGTCACCTCCATGGCCGAACACGTTGTCACCTCCACGCTTAAATAGGTCGTCACCTCCACTCTCGAAAATGGTGGGAGCTTCACGTCTTCAGGTCGTAGATGCAGTCGAGAGGCAAGCCTCCCACAATCTTGCGACACCAGCGAAAGAGCTGACCTCTCTCACAGCTGTTTCACTTCGGGTGAATATTCAGATTTGACTATCCAATGTGGCGGTGACGTCTACAAAGTCCACAAAGTTGTGGTGTGCACACGCGCAGGTTTCTTCGCTCGAGCTATCAAATTCGTTGGCAAGGTAACGAACGTTTTTTCCATTCATGTTATAGAAGTTGACAACAAGTAGGAGGCTCAAGAAAACGTCATCAATATCCCTAAGACGAACCCACAACTATCGCTTCTCTCGTAAAGTACTTATACTCAGGCACGTACAGTGAAGACCTCTTGGAAAACCTGGACTCTGAGCATACGGAATTATATGATGCATCGAATATTGTTATCAAGCGAACCCCGGTTTGGTGTTCTGCATGGAGACGCGACTATACATACGATTTCCCCCATACCTGTTCGGATGATGAATGTGACGATTGGTGCTTGTGCGCACACCACATCTGCACTATCAATTGCAATTCCGCATGCAAAGCCTTTGTCTGTAATGAATGCTGTTCATCGCAAGTTACCGGATTATCTTCACAGCTCCTTAGTCACTCGAAGATGTACGAGATTGCCGACAAATATGAAGTCACTGGACTCAAGGAGCTGGCATGCAAAAGCTTCACTCTTGCTTGCGAAGCTTTCTGGGACGACGAAGCATTTCCCATTGCCATCAAACATGCCTTCTCTACGACCATAGCCGAGGATAAAGGCTTGCGAGACGTCATCATCAAGACCATCTCTAGCCACGACTCACTTGCACGCAAGGCGGAGGTTCAGGCTGTAATGCTAGAGCATAGTGACTTGGCTGTAGGTGTTCTACTGAAGAAGGCAGGCTAGGATGATGTGGGATGATGATCAAGGGCGACCAGCGATGCCAAACCACCAAGAGATGGGAACTGCATTATAAGGACGATGTGCTATTGGCTCACCATAGTCTCCACTCATAGGATTCAGTCTACATACACAGGTCTTCTTCCATTCAACTGAAAACTAGCTCCATGTATTGCTTAGTGTACCGTGTTCCAGAGCACCTTAGTATGCAGTAGAAATTAACGCGAGTTCGACATACTCATAACCTGGTCCAATTAGTGTTCATGTATCTCTTCTAAAACTAGCTCGAGATTGTGTCTTCGTCTGTCCCATATGGTCATGTTGGAAGGAGAACGGGCAACAGGCAGTGATCCCAGGATAAGACACAACAAGTCGATCTAGTAGAAGCTACGTGCGTTGGTTTGGACTCAACAACATCTTCATTATACGCTTGAATTGCTAAATCTATATTCTGAAAGCCATTACATTAACCTCGATGTGCATTTTACATTAGATCTATCGTCTTCTTCTCATAATTCATAAATCGAAGGCCTCTAGTTGTAGGTGTAGACAGGCGAGGCGGGAAGAGTACCGAAGTCACCAGAGCCGAAGGGGCTGCTGGGAGAAACCTTTCCGCCATTGATGTCTGACACACCGAACCAAGCAAGCTCAGAACCCTTGTTGACCGTGATGACAGCGAAAGCAGGAGCGGGCTGCGCAACGTATCCCCAAGAGATGGTCAAATCAGATCCAGTGGTGCATGGCTGGTTGGCCCAGCTCTCGCTAGCAGCGTTGGAACCCGGCATGCGGATAACAGTGCAGCGCTCGGTCTTGCCGTCTGCTGTAACAGCGAAGTTGTAGTCGCAGCCGGAGTTGCCCTCAATGCAATAACGGGTTAGGTCCGAAATGGTCCAGGTCTTGCCCTCCACAAGCTTGGGGTTGGAGCCCGGTGCTGCTGTTGCAACAGGGGAAGCGACGGCGGATGGTGTAGGGCACGATCCAGGGTGGGCAGGGTTGCAACCTCCTGGAATGCCAGGGATGGATGTGAAGGTCGCGGCGGGGGACTTGGTGGTTGTGTCAAAGTAAGAAGAAGGGCACGAGCCGGGATGAGCGGGGTTGCAACCACCAGGGATACCAGAGATAGATGTAAAGGTAGCGGCGGGAGCCGCAGTAGTGGTATCGAAGTATGAGGAGGGGCATGAGCCTGGGTGAGCAGGGTTGCAACCACCGGGGATGCCGGAGATGGATGTGAAAGTTGCAGCTGGAGCAGCGGTGGTGGTATCAAAGTACGAAGATGGGCATGAACCTGGATGAGCCGGGTTGCAGCCACCAGGAATGCTTGAAGCGACTGGTGTAGCAGCTGAAGTCGACTTGGGCAGAGCAGCAATCTGGGAGGAGCACCATTCGCGGATGCGAGCAGCGTCTTCACCGTAACAAGCGGTCCGATCGCATGAGCATATGACTTCAGCAGTGCCCGCAGCGACGCACGCGTCGTAGGCAGTCACGCATTTGTCGTCCTGGCGCGCGCGGAAAGTAGGAGATGCGGTCGCAGCCGACAGCATCAACGCAATAGCGGCGACTTTGGAGAGCATGTTGGTAATTGTTCGTATGAGCTTCGTGTGAAAAGGGTGTTTGTAGGATGTGTTGAGGGATTGATGGTAGTTGTGCTTGACTGTCGATGGAAGAAGCGGATGAATATAGTCAACGATGCGATGGCTGGACTATATAACTTTCGTGAACATAGCCGTGAGGATATCATTCTCAATTGATGGCATAGCCCGAGTGTGACCGGATGTTCGGAGAAAGCACAACTCAGCACGACCTTGCTTAGCTTTCGAACCATGCTGTGGCAACCATGAGGCTCCCGGAGCGGCGATTTGACGCTCATTGGCTGAAGAGCTGGAATTCTACGATATTCGGCTCTTCTTCCGCCGCAATACGAGGCACAGTCGTATGAGCGACTATCATGACGATGCTACGCTTGACACGAGGGGTGTCCGGTGGTTCGAGGATCTTTTTCGATATTTCGGAAGCATTCCGGCGAGGCTTCATGGGCAGCTATCGGCTAGTTGCTCCATAATTAGGACCACGCTAGCGGCTAACAGATGACAATTGAGCTTGAAAGGTGATCGCCTCGCCTGTCACCCGAGCAGCGGTGACAGAATAGGCAGGGTGGCTGGTAAATGTACGAATGGAATGGACATCGGGTTGGTGAAAGTCCGAATACGACTTCACTAGAAGTCTGTGGGTAGTGACGTGGTAATCGTCTGGCAGCCGATTCTCCACAGGAAAATAGGTCAACGGCAGAGGCCGCTCCGCTGCGCTCGAAGACCGTCGCCGAGCAGCTTTGCTGAAGGAACACGGTGTACGGTCACCATGTGCATCGATGGCTGCAATGTGGAACATCCTCAAGCGTAGGACCATGGACCGGCAGTCGATGCGTGGTAGATCCCCGTGGGCAAAAAGCAGATCATGTCGAGCATTGCGAGAAGAGTCGGGCTCATGACCTCGTTTGACGACATGAATTCCTACTATCTCTCATTCCTTGACTTCTTCTCGTTTTCTCTATTTCGATCTCGGAAAACCGCTATCCTCTGCCATAGCGGAGAAGGCGTTCATCAAGCGGCGGTGCAGGCAGACTGGCGCGTGCTGTACACGTACGACATAGCCATTCAATTAAAAACTCTTCTATTCTCCACCTGGAATGAATATGCGACACAGTAGTATGAGACAAATTTGACGAACTTCGAAGGCTGGGAAAGTAGCTTTGGGTGCGCTGGGCGACCGGGCGATGGCGCTACATCACATCCACGCTAGCCTAGCCGTTAGCGCAAAGCCACGCCGCTCGTTTCCCTGTAATCGTCATCGTCAACAGCAAGAGGTTGGAACAGCTTGCCAACAAAGCTTTACCAAGCACCACAGACTCCCGACCGAGACCCACTATCAGTAGCTGGGCTATACAACATGGTTCCTTCTACTGCCGACACTCCCAATGTCGATAGCCCACGTAAATTGCCTACAGCCGAGGAGTTGTCGGAAGCGCTCAAGATTGATGTATACGACCGAGAGGGCAAGACCAAGGCGCTAGGTGACCTAGTCAAAGGGCAGAGGACTGTGTTAGTGTTCATTCGGCATTTCTGTAAGTGTTGGGTAATGTGACTAATGACAGCCCTGGGCCCACATCATTTGTAAGGGCCGTCAACCACTGGAAATTACCAAAGCGATTAAGACCGGGATACAAGAGGATGGAGCACTGACGTCTGCAGGGTGTCTGAACTGTCAAGCGTACGTTCGCTGTATCAGTGAATCTATACCACCATCAAACCTGCCTGCTAATACTCAAAGTACGCATTACCAATGGAAAATTAAGATAGTTTCAACTAACATATAGCACCCAGTCCTTGTTGTAGGATGTGGCTCCTACCAGCCCATTGACACCTATGCTACGAACTCATCCTCAAAGTACCCCATTTACACTGACCCAACACTCCGCCTACACAAGCTCTTCAAGTTCAAGTCAAACCTAGCTGAAGGGAAAGCTGGCGATGAACAGCGAGATTACATGCGCAATGCGGGTAGTACCATGTCCAGGATCTTTGGTGGCATCAAGGGTGCATTGGGGAATCTACAGCATGTGAACTCTGTAGGTCCAAAAGCCTTGAATGGTGGTGAGGTGGTTTTGTCTGCCGGTAAGTATCACTTGATGCTAGCTATGTTGTAACTTCTCAACTATGGTACTAATAGCGATGGTGTACAGATGGCGAATGCGAGTACATGTACCGTATGCAGAATACGGTCGATCATACCAACATAGCGGAGCTGGCAAAGATGATTGGAGCCGAATACATACCCGTAGATGGTGAAGAGAAGAAAGCGCAGACTTGCAATGAACCGGCTACGTGAGCGTTTGGAATTGGATCCTACCACGAGAACTGCCCATAGCAGACACAGATTGCTGAAAAGGTTTGAGGACGTCTCCGGCTTTCTTCGTATCTGTATGTTGTGATGCTGTAGCATCAGACTGCATAGGGGATATGGCCACCTTTGATGAGAAAGAGAAGACGAGTGTCCAGCTGCGACACCCATATTCCAGACCTTTTATTGACATGATGCTCTTTGAAGTTGTTTCTCTTGTGAATATTGTTTCAAACGCATAATCTCAATATCCGAGGATTCTACTACAATACATTATCAATCGGTTTTATTTGCTTTGAGAACATGCATGAGAAGGTGGTCGAGGTCTCAACATGCAGACAATTCACGGGAGATGAAAAGGATATCAAAACTGTTAAAACAAAATACATTGGCAAATTCATGGGTATATCTAACATGTCGGTGATCTAGTGAAGTCATTACGCAAGTCCCAAATCTATATTTCCTGTCCAGCGGCAGCGATGTCTTTCGCTTCATCTCTCATTTTCGCAACTTCTTCATGTTCCCTCTTCAACGCTCTCCAATCGAACTTTTCAAACGCAAAACTCCACGTCTTCTCGGCCACACTCAACATCCACTTGCTCATGGGGCCAACATCGTTGCCGTGGAAGCTCTTCCTTCCCACGTGCTGAACTAGTGGAGGGGTGATTGCGTATCTCAGCTCTCCTCTTTCGTTGGCAAAATCCTCCGTGATGACGTCCATGTAGCCGAGATGGCGCTCTTTGAAGTAATCAACGAGTTCGCCAGCTTTGACGGTAGGAAAGACGAAGGCTTGACTGCAGCAGGCGAAACGAGGCATTTCGTGGACGCCGACAGCCATGGGTTGGACGGTAATGCGACCGAGACCGAAATACGTAAGAATCAATATGCCAAGTATGGTGTACATTGCCAGGAAGCTGCGGGGTGTCACAAGGGCGAGGGTGAGTTTCGTAGTCGGCTGTGCGAACCGAAAGAAGAGAATAACGATGGTTGGTACCATGGCCACGTATGCCGAGTTTTTCAGGTATGTTCTCCACTCCTCAGCATTCCAGCCCAGGAACTCTTCGGTGTAGAAGAGGCGCAGATAGAGGAAGTCGGGTTTCGCCCGCTGCAACGCTGCCTGTTGTTCTGCCTCCTGAATGGCAGAGAGAGTACGGTGGTACCAACCATCCACGGCTACGGTATCGTCTTCGAATAGAGCCACATAAGGCGTAAATTTCTCTGTACACTTGTCCAACAGATATTGGTAGTCAAATAGACCCTTCTCCAAAAAGTTGTTTCGTGCTTCCATGATACGAATATACTGCATGCGGTCGAAGCCATATCCGTAGGTCAGTACTTCATCGGCAAGACCGGCCAACCACTCCTCGTTGTGTGCAGGATGCGCTTCGGGGTTCGAGTGCGGTATGAAGACGATCAGGTATATCTCCTGCCGCTCTTCGGGCGTAAGACCGTCCAGCAACGAGCCCACGGCGTCTGGCAGGTATTGAGCGCCGTCCCGCTGGTATGAAGGTATGCCCACGCATAGTTTTCGCTGCTTCTCACCACCAGCCTTGGTCACATTTGCGGGATTGTAGGACGAAATGAAGGACTCGGCTTGCTGTCGTCTAATGGCGGAGTAGCGGGGGGCATAGCCTTTTCGTGGGTTGAAGAAGACGGATGTAGGGTCGCGTGCTGATATCGAGTTTATTGTGTAGAAGAAGCTCACGGCAACAAAGACGGCGATGCCTATGACAAGGCGTGAGGGCGAGAAATGCATGATGTGCGGGTAGTGAACGAGAGTGAAGATGGGGCCAGGGTATTATCGCATCGCTAGTCGAAAAGTGAAAGTGGAAACGAAAGTAAGGCCGGAGGGCAGGTCATGTCATCGTCAGTGTTGGTGGTGGACAAACAGAAGGAGAGATGGGAAAAAAAAGACAGGAGCGACGCGCGCTCAAGATGAGGCGGCTTGAGTGGCCGGAGCTGAGGGTCCACCAAAACGGCGGATCTTGCCTTACGAGGATCTGCCGTGGCTGACGAAGGATAAAATTAGCAGGCCAGCATGTGCGTGGGTCGATGCTTGCAACTGCTGCTGCTGCTGGTGGCGGTGACGGCAACTAAGACGACGCGCAAGATTGCCATGGCTGCCGCTGAAAACGCAATAAATGAAGGTCATCAATGCCGAGTCAATAGGGGAAACAAGTAAACAGTGACATGGCAGACTCGGTGCCACTCGGTCATGTCGGCGGTACTCGCACGTGGGTGCCATGGTGGTCAGTCATGTCATTGCTCTTCATTTTAAAGGATCGATAGGAGAATTCTAGGGACGAGGGACTACGGGTTGAACCGATGGATTTGGCTCCTGGCGCCTCTCTAGCGTGACAGTGACAGACGGCTGCGACTCCGCTTCATCCTTCGGTAATTGGCAGACGTTTGGCAACACCATATTGTTTGTTTCATGATAAGATTGCCGAGTCTACAGGACTGCTTGGTGTCTTGCGCGCTTTCCTGCACCCAAGACCACGACCGCCTCTCACCACATTCATGTCAAGATGCGATAGTTGCTGTAACACGTGCGCACGCATGTTGGCGCGCCACAGCCGAAGTGGCGCGATGACGAACATGGTGAAGTCGACATCTCATGCCCGCTGCACTGCGCATGCATCGCACTGAGTCACACAACTCCATCGTCGCTGCTTTGTAAACATCCTCCCAGGGCCTGTAGCATTGGGACGTCTTCTTTGATCCAGTCATAGTCGTTTGACTCACCAGCCTTGATCCCCCGCTCACCTTGGAATCACTCATATAGCGTTCCAGACAGCTTCCGCCTCGACGCGCACAACCTTGGAAGCAGCAACCCTCGCTCGGTGCCATGCCCAAGAAGCACACCCCCTCGTACACGACTGCCAAACCCTCCTACGTCCACCCGTCGCTGCAGAGTTCGCGCTCCCCCGCTTCCTCTTCCACGTCGTCGGAGCCCCAGACCGTCAACCAGCGCATACAACAGCTGCGTCGCGAACAAGCTCCCAGAGCAACGCCCGAACAGCGAGATGAGCTCACATCGGTAGTAAGCAGCCGTACTGTCCCGCCGGAGCTGCGGCGCATATTGCACATACCCGAAGTTAATGCTCCTAAACCAAAGGCCAACACACGGGCGCGAAGGGTCATGGGCGGCGTGAGACCGCCCCCAGGTCCTGCCGCACCTACGAGCTGGTTGCAGACGAGTCGCCATGCGCCAGCATATACGAGAAAGAGGAAAGCTGAGGCAGACAAAGGGGCCGTGAGGTTTGGAACGTTGGCCACAGTGACCAACCAAGAATACAAGGTACGGCGCTCCCCAAAACGTGGCTAGCATACGAGGGAGCTCGTTTTTTTTCAGCTCGTACCCACCCAAAACATACCCTGAAGGCATACGTACTGTACCGCGTTAGCACCCAATGAGAGAGTAACAGAGTATACCTTTGGGGCAAGTTTTGGTGTCCAGGGAACTACTCATGAAAACGAGCTCCTTCGCACTGGGTCTTCAAGGCTTAATCGTCCAATGCAGGCTTCTTACTCATGACAGCGCCTGCCACCGCCGCGAAGCCTCGTCCACTACTGTCTACGGTCGTTTGCCCAAAATTGGGAAGAGCTCATCGAGTACGAACAACACTACATAACATCCCTACCGACCTCGCTGAAAGAAGCACTATTGAGTTATCTGACATTATACGGGGAGAAGGGAAGCCTGGACTTCAAGTCGCTCAGAATTCTGTTCCAAGATGAAGAGGGCACTGGTACAACAGGATGGGAGGAAGTCCAATTCCTCGATCTCAGCGGATTATTGAGCGAACGCTTCAGGATCAACGATATTGGAAAATGCGTCAAGCGTCATAGTGCTATTACCACTATGGATGTTGCGGCCCTTCGCGTCACTGACGAAATCGCCGAGTCCTGGGAAGAGGAAGTTCGAGAGAGCGTGACAATTCCCTCAGTACCAGCGATGAAGCTCCAAACTCCCTTTTTCAACAACTTGAGCCGACTGTCTCTTGCTCATCCTGGGCAATGGGCGTCATGGCCCGATCTACTTCGCATCTCGCCGAACCTCAACAAGATCACGCATCTCTCCCTCGCTCATTGGCCCCGTCCCACAATGACACCAAACGCCAACACCACATCGATGGTTTCCCAACAAACAAGTGTTTCACTAGGAGGATCACACTTCTATTCCGATCTCGACGATGACTGGCATGAAGCTACTAATATCTTACGTCGCTTTTCAAAAGATACATACTCGCTACAGTGGCTCGACTTAGAAGGCTGTAACTGGCTTAAAGCCTTGACGTCGCATCCCGGTCGCACAGCTACGGATACAAATACGGAATGGAACACACAAACTGGAATTCCTGGTCCAGATTGGAACGACGCCTGGCGCCGTATAATCTACGTGAATTTCTTCCAAGGCTGGATCCCAAGCGACAGTCAAAGTCTACAAAATATGCCTGCGGGCATTGTACCAGTGCAATTACTCCGCTGGCTAAGGGATAACAAGGACAAGGAAGGTGTCAAATGGCGTCTGAATCCACAGGAAACCGGGCATGCGGTGGCGGAGTGGGTGAATAGAGAAAAAGTCGCTAGACTTGTTGGCATGGACATCCAGGGCATCCGTAAACGAGGCGAGGGCGCCTGGTGTCGCATCGACTTTGGATGGGGAGCTTCTGGCGAGAGGGTGGTCTGAATCGAGTGGAACACGTATTCAACCCAATAATCCCTTGATTCTTCTACATTTCTAGCTGTGATGCAGCGTCCAAAACTGAATGACTACCGCCGAGATATATGTGCCGACATATCCGATAGGTATGATATCGAGCAGCAATGCGACTATTCATAACCTTAATCTCCTGAACCCCTTTAATCAGCGTCGACACTTTGATGATTGTTGAGAAACTACTCCTCGTATCGACAAGATAGGGCTAATGAAGATCGCATACCCACATTTTGTACTAGCTGACTCGCTAACGCAGGTGCCTCCCGAGTTAAGCAGTAAATGGGTACGTGCGGTCATACACCGTACAAGCATGGCTGGGCATGGTGGGCTCTTTTACGACCATGGAGGAGTCCATTTATTCTTAGTACTTCATGATGCTGGAGCCAGCGACGCGCAGTTTGAAGCCGAGGAGCGCTGACGAAATCGGCTCTGCACAGCCAACGCTACTATTCATAGACTGCGGAGTTTGGACTGCTGTCCTAGTATCGATGGTCGGTCTGGATTTAGATACTACCTTTTGTAGTCGACGCGGAACTCCCGAGGTAGCACAGCCACATACCGGATGCAGCTATAGCATGGAGAAAAATGCTGTATTGGTCAATCGCTTGTCTCTTAGCTGAGGTTGCGCAATATACACTGTAATGCATTCTAATTCCGGGTACTGTTAGTCCCAAGACGTTACGTTTTGCTTCTCCCGCCTCAGAAACCGTCAACTCTAAACGGCATAAACGGTAGCGATGCGCGCGGTTGTTTGCTTTTCGAACCCAAGACTTGACTGCGGGTAGGCCCAGCCGAGGAACGGAGCGTTTCGGTAAAAGACTGTTCCCAGCGGGTATCTGAAACCGTGACACACGAGGCTGTAACGTTTTGTGCTGACAAGAATTGGAGGTCAAGAAGCTGACGCGTACGTTACGGGTAAGCAAGTGACCGAAGACTGGAGTTTTGGTATGGGGAGAAGGCAATCAGATCTGGGTGGACATCTTGAAAGGGTAATTTGCTAAAGTGGGTATTGATACAGTCGCAAAGCCATAATTGTTGCGCTGTTGCTTTTGCACGGCCGTTATTCTAGGATGTCTGTAGAATCACTTTGGTAACTAGACGTCGTCATGTCCTTATACAAGCGTCTGCGCTTGAGAGTAATGCGTAGAGCCGGCGGACCATTGTCCATAAGAGGGAGGCGTCTTAGTTCGTGAGATGAACGATAGCAAGCCACCCGCGTAGTGTAGATGTTACAAGGGTGCTATAGCCTCAACACCGGATTTGCCGGAGTCGCTGTTCGCGGAAGGTGTTGGCATTGCTGCCTCGTATTCGCTGCGGCCTTATCTCTCAGCTGGGGGCATGCCATGCTCACTACATCAAAGTGCAGAAATTCTTGTTCTACTCCTAACAGCGAGTTAAGGATTTGTAGGTGTAGTACTCTGATCCGAGAGGCGGGGCGATTCTACCAAGCCGCGCGGGCGGGGAGGGCGGAACCGAGATAAAGTGTCAATGACGTGGTGGTGGTCGATAAACTCGCGGCTTCATTATCGCGATAAGACGCAGGTCGAGACTCCCACCAGTAAGCGTGCGAAGTGCAGAAGCGTGCCGTAGTCATGAGCTTAGCCAGATAGGTCCCACAGCAACCAAGCGTGAGTTGATGCAGCTACACATGTCTATAGAGAAGAATGCAGCCCGGTGCAGGTCGTCAGCCAACGAAGTTTAAGCGGCGGTAGATGGCGCGGGAGGGCTATGCTGCAAGAGGTAGGACGCGGCGTTTCACCTAGTTCCTTCCGAGTCTGCAGTCAACGCGCGTCTGGACAACGTAGAATCAAGGCGGCCCAGATTCAAGCTTCGAAGCAACAACGGGTGTAACAATCGTAGTGCCACCACGGCATCTAGAACCGGCTGCGTTAAAGCATCACAAATCCTGGGAGGAAGGACGGTTGTATTCCCAGACGTTCCTGCGATGTGAAGGTGGCGTTCGTCACCGTTGCCATGCATTGCCCCATGTCGCCGCCCAGCTAGGGCGTGAGTGGACGGGATTACTCAGGTCGTGACGAGGTGAGAAGAGGTATACCTGTCATGAGCAGGCTCTCCACTCGGCATACACGAGAAGCGTGGAAAGCGTGAAAGATCGCCCCAGCGTCGTAATGAAACCAGGATTGCTGAGGGGCGTGTAGAAAGACGAGGCTCGGTGCGCCAACTGATTTGGAACAAGCTTTGCCGCGATGTTGAGTCGGCCATGGAACATTCGTCGACGACAGGCACGCTAGACGGCTAGCGTGCCTGCGAACGTGAAACTCGGAGCACCCCTGTTTGGCTTTGGCCCTTTGGGGGTTCTCTTTGAAAAAGCCCGTGGTTATCGCCGTCGCCCATGCCTCTCATAGCCTCTGCAGCCTCCCTTGTCCTCGATGTCGTTCGTTCTTCCCTCGTGTCCGTGAATTGCGCGTTCCACCTCTCATTTCTTTCTCACTACTACCACCACTAGCCCTTTCTCGCCAATAAGGTCAATCCTTCCCCGAGCCAGAGCGTCGAATACCACCTTGTACCTCAAAACTCCAACAAGGGCGTCCGCTCTGAGAATATATCTTCCCACCTAGGCCCTATCGAGTTCCACCTGTGGTCACCCTTCACTCACCGAGGACCCGTCCCCTCCCCATCATTCGCCGGGCTCTTCAACCGCGCTGGCCACCATGCTTACCTTCAAGAAAGCCCTTGTGCTTTCACTGGCTTGTTTGACGCTATTCTTCATCTTCAAGTCGCAGCACCACGGTAGCACAGCCCCCAACTTCCGCAATGCGAAGGAAATGCCCAGGCCGACCGCCTGGGTGAACCCATCCGACAGGGAGCGTGCGAAGCTCAAGGAGAAGGAGTCGAAAGAGGCGCAGAAGGCCGCAGAGAAGACCGCAGAGAAGGCGGAAAAGACCTTCGATACGCCCAGTGCGCCAGCGCCCAAAAAGCCGAAAACCCAAATCAGCATGGACGAGCTGAGGAAGCGCCCACTCAAGGAACAGCTCGAATACCAGTTCCCCTACGATGTCGACGCGAAGACGCCCGCATACATTTGGCAGACATGGAAGTACACACCGGCACAGGGCGAGTTTGAGGAGATGTTCCGCGAGCCAGAGGCCAGCTGGAGCATCCACCACCCGTCGTTCGTCCATGAGGTCATCACCGATAATGTCGCAGTACACCTGATCAGACATCTATATTCTTCTGTTCCTGAGGTCATTGAAGCCTACAACGCTCTCCCTGTCCCTGTGCTGAAAGCCGATTTTTTCCGCTACCTTATCCTCCTTGCCCGTGGCGGCATCTACTCGGATATCGACACTTCGGCATTGAAGCCTGCGTCGGATTGGATACCCTCTGACGTACCCGCGAACACCTACGGAATGGTCATCGGCATTGAGGCTGATCCAGATCGCCCGGACTGGGCCCAGTGGTACTCTCGCCGCGTCCAGTTCTGCCAGTGGACTATTCAGTCGAAGCCTGGCCATCCCGTGCTTGTTGATGTTGTTGCAAACATCACCCAGGAGACACTTAACCGCAAGCACGCGGGCAAGCTCAGCAAAGACTACAAAGGCATCATCGAGTTTACCGGGCCCGCTGTCTGGACCGATACCATCTTCGACTACTTCAACAACCCCGACTACTTCGATATGAGCACAAGCAAGGGTAACATTACATGGGAGAATTTTACCGGCATGAAGGCGCCCAAGAAAGTTGGTGATGTCATTGTCTTGCCCATCACAAGCTTCAGCCCCGGCATTAAGACCATGGGTGCTGGCGAGGATGACGACCCAATGGCCTATGTGAAGCACAACTTTGAAGGTATGTAGTTTTTTCTTCTTTTATCGAGCTTCCGAGCGTACCGTCGTATCACGCTCCATCGTGCTACGCAGTACAAGCCACCGAGATGCAACCGTCCTTCGATTACACCCGCCTTGAGTCCCTGGTTGCTTCAATACTGACTAGCGATAGGTACCTGGAAGCCTGAGAGCGAGCGCCACATCGGCAAGACATACAACTGACCGAACAATCCCTGCGAATCGTCCGACCGAGCTCACCACATCACACCACATCACACAACCGTATTCACATATAGTGTACACCGCATTGAGCTGCAAAGGAAATGGGCAACAGGAAGTTGCGCGGCGGGCATCAGATAATGCCGATTCGAGTCGCGTGTGAGGAAATACAGCTTCCGGGGGGGGTACAAGCTAGTGGGTTGCGTACACGCGTAGTTGTGAGACGCAGGACTGCCAGCCAGACTATCAACGTCGAATCGTTTCTGCTGTTGCCCCGACGCTGGCATGGAGAACAGGAAGCAGCGCGGGCACGGGACATGTGTTGGTACAGCACCAGCATTTTCAAATCGGCTTCAAGCGCTGAAGTACGAAAAGTTTCTGTTTTGAGGTTATATCGGCTGCATTACTACTTGGCGTATGACAGCGTTTCATCTACTTTTTCTTACGAGAGGCGTTTGACGATATGCCTATGGCGATACCTGTGTATACATTGGCTTCAAATAAGATACGCCATTTCCTCATCACGTTTTCCGTTTCTGGGAATCATGTTTCGTGTCTTAGCTCATTGTGTCATAGTGCCTGATGGGCGATCGAACTATCGTACATGTGCTCCAAAACGAGAATTTAACAAAGAAACAAAGAAAAAAAAGGTACTATGGGTATCACAGTCGAAAAACCACCAGGGTTTACAAGTCACCATTCCATAAAATCCATCACCAATCTCATCGCCTGTTCCCCCCAAATAAGTCGCCGATCTTTCCCATCGTGCTCAATAGACTGCCTCCGAGCGTCGGTCTTCTCTCCAACTCCCTGTCTTTCGCATATCTCCTCTCGTACTCCCTTTCCGTCTCAGGATCCAACTCCCCGTAATGCTGATCGTGATGTCTATGATGTTCATCCTCGTATTTATCTTCGCCATCCGCATACGCATGTGCATTATGTGCGTGCGTGCTATGATGAGAG